GAATTTGTTACAGACTTAACAAGAAATAAAAAAAAAAAACAAAGACAAAAACACTGGAGTGTGTAGGTCTTATCATAAAAAATGTATTATCACATGTCACATAATGTTGCATCTTGGCAAGGCAGATACTCTATCTGTAGGGATGATTCAAAAATATTATCAATGACAAGATGGAGATGGACACCTCTCCATGTTTCTGCATGAGAGTCTCTGAAAAATAAAGTCAGTGAGAGCTCACACACACTTCCCTGTGCAAAGAGAAAAGGGCTGAACTGCAGGGATGCTCAACACCAGGGGGCGAATTGCAATACAAACCAGTCTGTGTTCCACAGGAACTCTAACCAGCAAGTACAACTTTTCTGGGTCCCTTGTTCTTGAAACAGAACCTGCTTTTGGTCCTTGAGGGATGCCCATACAGTGTAGCTATGGTCTTGCCCTCAAGGCTCCTGTTTGTGAGCTCTGATAATGGGGGACTGTGGGCTATAGGTCAGTGTGAACTCCCACACACGTTGGGGCAATGGTGGCTACACTGACTGGACAATGGTCTCCTGGGTCTGACTCTTCTCAGGACAAGCCAGGATCCTTCTCACTGTGGCCTCTGCTGGTTCCAAGTGTTGGGAGAACAAACAAACAAACAAACAAAAAAACCCCACAATGCCAGGCTCTTTTCAGTCATCATGTCAGTTGTGTTTGCTTTGGTTTTATTGTCAAAGTAGTTCACTCACTAGTTTCAAGTCAGCCTGGAGGCCCTGCACAAGTGCTAGGAATGGATGAGGAGGAAAACCTGGAGTCACTACAATGGAAATCATCACTGTGTGTGTGTGTGTGTGTGTGTGTGTGTGTGTGTGTGTGTGAGAGAGAGAGAGAGAGAGAGAGAGAGAGAGAGAGAGAGAGAGAGAGAAGAAAACATTGTTGAGCTGTAGAAGTGCAGTGGGATTAGAACCTTCCAATAGTGACCCAGTGTTCTCAGGGCCAAATCTGTTCATATCAGTTCTTCCTCTAACTGGGCTATGGAGGTTCCCACTTAGCATCTGAGCTGACAGAGAATAGACACCACATCTGCTTATGAGTGTGGCCTCAACCTGTGAGCTACCCACCAGTGATTGCAAGGTGAGTTAACTATTTCTAGCACACCCAGCTATGGAGAGTTAGAAATTGCTCCTTACCAGAATGGATCCTATTTAATATGGGTGTGGTTTTCCTAATGGGCGACTTCTGTTACAAGGAGTTTCTGAGATGCTCTCTGATTCCCTGAAATGGGATACCATGTCTTGTATCCTAGGGCCTGTGAACCTGGAAGTCATTGAATGATAAGAACTGTAAAACAGGAACAAGAGCACTGGAAATAGACATCCTCTGTTATTTAGATATCCTAGGAGCAGATAGCATAGTAGAATTGTGAAGGGAAAACTCTGGGCTCTGGACTTTGACCTACATGTGTTTGGGCCAGACAACTGTTAACAGTATCTTCCAGAAGACACTGTACATCATATCTAAGTCCATGGTGTAGACAGGATCCCCCCCAGGATGTTCTCCATGTCCCTAATATCAGACATACTACAGTGAACCAGGAGCTACAGCACATGGTCTGGCACAAAGTGTTAAGTGGGGCAATTCCCCCACCACAGTTGTGGAGACAACTTTCAGAATGTTTCTTTTAATCTCAGTAGTCACAACCAGAAATACATTAGAAGCCCTGGTTCTCATAAAGGGATTCATCAATACTTGACAAGTTTATGTATCAATTAAATCAAGGCTGTGCCCACTGGCTCATCCATGGAAGTTCTCACAGCTCTGGATCAGCTGTAGAACAAAAAGTTTCTGTGAAGATAGTGGCCTTTCTCTCTCTTCCCTTTTTTGAATAATGCTGCAGCTTCTTTTCCAGCAGGGGCAGAGAGGGGTCAAGTGGGACAGATGGAGTCTATTTCTCTCTCTAATAGCCTCACCAAGAAGAATAAAACTTGCATCATTCCAATGTGTGTTGGAGGCCTGGTGTCCAAGATTCACCACCCTTGGGCACTCATGGTCTGGGTCTTACCTACAAATGGCCCACACATATCAATCTACTCCCAACACTGTGGGATAGTCTTAAGTGGATACAGTTTGTGCCAAGGTGGGAGCAATAACAGGTGCCAAGTCTGACCACAGAGCCAGCCACAGCAGTGACATTACACCTGATATTCTAACAATCACATTGTGATGGCACTTACCTCAGAGTCTAAGATTGTCTCAGGTCCATGACAAGGGGTAGCTGCAGAACAAGGGTGTGTGGATCAATGATAGCCGTCCTGAACCCAACACAGACTTTAGCAGGAGTTTTCTGTGACAGTTCTAGGTGAACCTGACTAATTTAGCTCATCCAAAACCATGTCTCAGGTGATACACAACTTTCTCCATTGAAGTGAGGACTATGAATCCACAACTGTATACAGTCCTGAAGTGTAGGAAACACTAGATGCCGGCATCTATTTATGTTCTCATAACAGAAAATGGGTCCAACAACTTCACTGGGCCTGCCCCGTTCTACCCTGTGTTAGATTCAGGGGAGCAATGACGGCCAGTTAAGAGGTCACATGCCCAGGTGCTGTTCTCACTGTCACCAGGACTGGTCTCTTGGACGTGACCTAGACCTGCTCAGGATTGTGTGTTTAGGTATTGAAATGGTATCATGATCATACCCTCAGGATATTCACCTGCACTGAGGCATGGGCTACTCTGCAGGTCCACAAACCCCAGAGCTCCCTATATAGCAGGAGGACAAGCAAATAAAAAAGCAATTCAGCCCCACCCTACACCTCTGGGACAGAAGCCCAGCCTGGGATTCCAGGTATTTGTAGCTCCTGGTCAGGACAGTATACAGACCAGTCACCATGAAATTTGGGTTTGCCTGGGTTTTCTTTGATGCAATTTTAAGAGAGAATTTATGAAGAAGAGGAGTCACAGAGTATGACAGTAGATATGACTCAGTGATGCAGTAGACATATGATAATTTTTTAACCAGGACATTCTTGTGTTTCCACGTGTCTAATCTGAGGTGCAGTTGGTGGAGTCTCCTGGAGACTTAGTGCAGCTTGGGGGTTCTCTGAGACTCTCCTGCATGGCTTTTGAATTCACATTTGGTGACTCTGACATGAACTGTGTCCACCAGGCTCCAGGGAGGGGACTGTACTAGGTCTTATCCATGAAAAATAATGATGCTATCACATACTATGCCAACTCTGAGAGGGGTCAATCCACCATCTTCAGAGACAATGCCAAGAATACACTGTACCTGCAAATGAATGGGCTGAGAACCAAGGGCATGACTGTGTATTACTGTGCCAATGGTATAGTGATGAGAAATCAGTGTGAGCCCAGACACAAACCTCCCCATGGGAGACAGAAGGGCTAGACTTCAACAGGCAACAAGGGGTCCTCAGGACACCAGACCTCACACAAGAAAACAGCACTGATACTGGTCCATACAGTGGCACCCCAGAAACACTTTTTTGGGTCTCCGATTCATGCATCAACACCTGCTTCTCTTCTTGGGGAGATAACTGTTCATTACCCCTAATGGCCCTGCACTTGCAGCCCCTCGCTGTGAGATGTAAGGATAGGGGCATGTGGGGGTCAGATCAGTGTAATTCACCTCTTATGTCAGGTCAGCATTTGCTACACATACTGACCATGAGTACCCTGGGTTTGAGACTCCAGGACAAGCCAGCACCCTCCTCACCATTGACTCTGCAGGTTCCAGGTGCTGGGATAACAGGCTACCAAAAGGATATTCCCCAGGCTTCATATCAACCATGTTTGTTTTTTGTTCTGTCATCAAAATACATCACTCACTCATTTTGAGTGAGAGTTGGGATTCAGCCCATGTGCTAGTAACAGGAGAGTGGAGAGACTTGAAGTCATTAACATGAAACATCACTGTGTTACTCTGTGTGTGTGTGTGTGTGTGTGTGTGTGTGTGTGTGTGTGTGTGTGTGTGTGTGATATTTATGGAGTAGAAGTGGAGTGGGATTAAGGTCACATTCAGAGATACTCACATGGGACCTGAAAGCAGGAACCTGAGTACATCAGTGATACCCCAAACTCCTGAGAGCTTCTGGAGTGAGGGGTGTTGGCTGTGTTAGTGCATCTGGCAGCTGTGATAAAGTGCCACCCTAGTGTCTTCTGTGAACCCTGCCCTGGTGATTTCTGCAGAGGATACTGTGGGTTATTAAGGCCAATTATCTGTGCCGGAGATGTAAAAGCATATAGTGTCCATGATGAAGCCACCTGAAGTCAGAGTGCAACCTTTCATTCTGCATAAGAGATGCTGAGAGGTCCATGCCTTGTGAGGCCAGATGGGACCTTCCCATACAAGGCATGGGCTGAGCAGCAGAAGGCACGGGGGCCCCACAAATTCCGGGCTGCTGCTCCAGGAGCAGGTATCTGGAGAGGGATTTATTATTCTGGGGGTCTGGGTCATTGTTTTCACACACACAAAAAAAAATCTAAAAAACAGTTGATCAAGAAGTGGCTTGAGTATACTATTCTGTCAGAACATTTATCAAACTCGATAAGAGAACCAGAGTCAGTGGGGATATTTCTATGGCATCTTTATATGTGAATTCTAAGGAGCTGGAGACAGAGATGGATTTATTAACTCACTAGGTGCAGCATTTTAAAGACACACTGACCCAGAGTAAGATAGTCTGACTTTAAAGTCCAGAACAAGTCCAGGGGTTCTCTATATGATTCAGAGTTGAGTTTTAAGTGGTGAGCATTTCCCATGGGGTTATATCCCCAGTGGGTGGAGCTATGTCTGCACAAAGCTCAGGGACCTGAGAGTGGACTGATCCCAAAACATGGATTAGCATTTAGGTTCTAACTCTCTCTGAGCATGGTCTCTGTGTTCTCTATCTTCTCTCAGCTGTGGCCGTCTTCAGCAATGAAATACTCTGTCTCATGAATATGTAAATGCGAAGTAGACTATATTAAATGTGGATCTGTCTGTGTCCTAAGAGCATCACCCAGAGCCATACCGTCCCCTACAGAAGTCTTTACAGCACAGCCTCTCACCATGGACTGGAGCTGGATAGCCCTCTTCCTGGTGGCAGTGGCAACAGGTAAGGGGCTTCCCAGACCCTGGGTTGAGGAGGGGACCAGCAGCAGTCAAGGTGGACTTCCATCCATTCCTGCCTCCTCTCCACAGGTGTCCAGTCCCAGGTGCAGCTGGTGCAGTCTGGGTCTGAGTTGAAGAGACCTGGTTCCTCAGTGAAGGTCTCCTGCAAGACTTCTGGATACACTTTCACCAGCTACTATATGCACTGGGTACGACAGGCCCCAGGACAAGGGCTGGAGTGGATGGGACGAATCGACCCTGAAGATAGTGAAACAAAGTACGCCCAGAAGTTCCAGGGCAGAGCCACCATAACTGCAGATATTTCCACAACCACAGCCTACATGGAGCTGAGTAACCTGAGAGCTGAGGACACGGCAGTGTATTACTGTGCTACAGACACAGTGATCGAAAGTTAACATCAGCTCAAACACAAACCTCCCTGCCAGAGGGTCTGGTAACTCCAGGGGGCACAAGGGTCCCTTCACAGAAGGGCCATCCCGGAAGCAGATGCATTTGTAAGTTTGGGCTTGGTTCCTGTGTGGTTTCCTCTTCCTGTAACAGTTTCCCTCGGGGACCCTCTCTGAATTTCTGATTCCTGGCTCAACTCTATATTCTTTGGGTTACCAAAGGTTTTTGTAATAGAAGACAATTCTTATGTGAAAAAAAAAAAAGCAGAGTCTCCTTCAAACACTATTATGTCCACTTCCAAGGAAACATTAAGCCTTCTGACCTATGCCCGTTGTATTTAACCAGAGGCTTTGTTGAATGTATCAGTGCAGCTCCAGTCAATACAGGACAGTGCCCAAGGTGACTTGGAGAGGACAAGTGCATGCTGATAGCAGACACCAGTGGCTTTTGAACCCAATGCCACAGAACAAAGATGACTTGTAGTGATGGTCACTGATCTGGCATCATGTCACAGCAGCAAAGAGATGGACACCACACAGAGCACACAGACCCAGGGTGGCTTGATGTGGACCTTGAGGATGATGACAAGCACACACCCCAAGGGGATATGGAACATTTATCGAATGAACCTTCATACATGAGCAAAATAAAATTAGACTCTAACTACATATTTCATTTATCCACCACAAAATTGAACAAAAAGAGATAAATGGTCTTTATGTGTGGACAATATCCATGCCTACAGAAAATGAAAAAAAATAGTTATAAGTAATAAAATGATGTTGAAGATGAAGATAAAAATTGTGAAGAAGATGATAATAGATTAGTCTGGGTGTTCGTCTGACGTCTTCAGTGAAATTTCTCCCCTATCTAAGGTTTTGGAAACATTGGCTAAGCTTTCTGTTCTCAAAGATGAAGTGATTCCCCAGGCTCTCTGTAGATGTTCAGTATAAGGACACCTATTAAACTAAACTTCCAACTAGTTGGAATTTTGTGTTATTCATTGAATGCAAAAATAACCCAAAAGTGAATCCCATGGAGCTTTTCTGCTGCATTTTCTGTTGATACACCTGATACCATTTCTTCCAATGAAGTTCAAGAACAAGTTTTGTTTGTCATGTTCAACACAATAGATAGAACTCAGTGATTGAAGACAACAGAACCTGTTAGAAAGATGGACCAGAAAGGTATGTTTAATCTGTGAGTGAAAGGAGAAGATATAAAAATAAATCATTTTCACTATTTTTTCCTGTGTGGATGCAACAGGGCAGAGACAAGTTGTGAGTTAACGTCACTAATTACATGATTCTTTCAATTTCCATGCCACAGGGGGCAACTGATGTTTCCTGGGGGAAGGATAATAGGCAACCAGTGCTAGTGAGAGGAGCTTTGGACATGGCAGTTCAGGGTTTCTGAAACCTTAAATGATTTTATGTAAAACTGTTATTTTTAAATCTTTACAGAGTCCTTGCCGCATAGCACAGCACTGGTTTGTGATGACGCTGTACAGTGAGCACCTCCTTCACTGCATATGCAAGTGGGGAAAATGCAAATTCAAACAGCTCCTATCAGCTGAATGACCCATACTTTTTTTTTTTTTCAGAGAATTAACTCCAGGCATCAAGGAAATGCATACACAATACATACAACATATGCACACCACATGAGTAGTGAAGCTAGAAGAAAAAGTTCGTAGAGCTCTTGAGGACTGGTTTTTGGTCAGTTCTCACCTTCACAGATGGCTCAGGATTCGCCGTTCCTGGTAACACAGGAGCCAGGAACAACCTCCACTCTCTGGAAGTTTTCACATCAGCACTAGTTTACCATAATACCAGTGTGTCTATCCCATGCATGCAGTTCAATAGGGAAATTTAACAAGACTCATTTTAACTTATCTTATGTCAACAAGCAGTTGTCTTGAGACATCGAATATTTGAGTAAAGTAGACACTACACATTTTTCCATGTTTTTCACTTAAATCATAAGCTAAATATTTACATTTTATAATAACTATGTTGGATTCTTCTTTATGTTTATCTTTGAGGATTCAAATAGGAGAATGACCCAAGTTAAATCTGCTCATTTGCCATAATAATTTACCTCAGCATTTTCTTAGCTTCCATGCTATAAGTTTTTGTATTTACTGTCACTCTCATATTACTCACTTTCCAGGGTGGATGAGTGCTTCCAGGCTTTCGCAACTTTTTCATGTGATGAATTTTCCAGGAGATATGGGAACCCACTTGTTCACAAAAAATCACTAATCATACAATGCTCTCCAGATACCTGTCTCCTTCTCCTGCCACCCTGGCCTCAACTTGTTTGGCAAGTCCTAGGAAGAGCAGTGCTTTCTTGAATCATGGCTAATTTTACATTAGTTGGAGGCATGGACTCTGATGGAGAGTTCCATTATTATACTGCTCCCTGATTTCCAGACTACATATTTATTATAGATGTGGGAACCATCAACAATCAATATCAGGTTCAGGTTCTCCATGGGAATCTCCAATAAACTGAAGGTTTGTATTGAATTTCCCCTGATAGATATGAAACAATTGTGAGCCCACTTGTGACATTTACTCATGACATTTCTGAGGTGCACCACACAATTTTGGGACCTTACCAGGAATCTGGCACATGGGTAAACTTTCAAGGGAATGCTTCCTTATCTGAATGATTCCAGATATTATGTGTGGTTATTTCAGGGGAAACAAACAAACAAATACAAAGAGACAAATTGAACTGATTAAACAATGAGGAAAATGATAACATAACTAAATGGCAATTCTGGATGTGTGTCAGCTTACATGAGGTTCATTCACTGGTCATGTTAATTCACCCTGTGCATTGAGTTCCTTTTCTCATTTGCACACTGATACACACAGTATGTTAGGTTCATGTTCAGTGGTCCCATGGAGACATGAATGGGGACAGTGAGAGAGAGGAGATGGTTCTTCTGAAATTAACTATTGAAAAACCAGAGGACACCAACATATGCCATGTATTGATGTGTGATTAAAGATACATCACCCTCACAGCATGAGACTTCATGATGAGGTGACACTCATCTCATGTGGACCAGGTTAAACAGTTCCTGAAAGTCTGTGCAGATACAAAACCAATGAAAATGGAAGGAAACCTTATGAAATTTACTTCTGGTGAACCAGGGTGAATCTGTTTTTTGCTTTTATTTTTTTTAATTTTATTTTAATTTATTTTTTCAAATACATTTGTCTCTGCCTCCCTCTCCACCACTTTCCCTTACCCCCTCCCTCCTTACCTCCCTCAGCTCTTCCCCTTTGGTTTTGTCCATGAGTCCTTGCTATATGTTCCTTGACTTTCCCCTTCTCTTCTTTTCTCCACTCCCCCTCCCTCCTTCCCTCTTGTCTCTGTTGATTTCTTTTCCTTTCAGTGTTGCTGGTCTTATTTTCCTTTCATCTTTGTATTGTTGGTTAGGTTCCACTTATAGGTGAGATCATATGGTATTTGTCTTTCTCCCCCTGGCTTATTTTGCTTAGCATAATGCTCTCCAGTTCCATCTATGCTGTTGCGAAGTTTAGTAGTTATTTTTTTTCTTTCTGCTGCGTAGTATTCCATTGTGTATATGTACCATAACTTTTTGATCCAATCATCTACTGATGGGCATTTAGGTTGCTTCCAACACTTGGCTATTGTAAATTGTGCTGCTATGAACATTGGGGTGCATAGGTTCTTTTGTATTGGTGTTTTGGTGTTCTGAGGATATAGTACCAGCAGGGGAATCACTGGATCAAAAGGCAGTTCCATTTTCAGCGCTTTGAGGAAATTCCACACTGCTTTCCACAGTGGCTGCACCAGTCTGCATTCCCACCATGTATTTTGCTTTCTTGATTAGAATTAAGTCATAAATCAAGAGAGCCACATATCCTGATGGCAGTAATAATGTTGAACCACAGTGGCTGAACAGTTTTATAGAATGTTAGATCCATGAGCTCCAGGAAGGAGAGGCTATTTAAATGATTTCTTCACTTTGTAACCAATGGATGAAGAAAAATTATGCTCTTCATATCAAGTATATTTAACTTAATTCTGTTATTTTATATTAGTTATTAGCATAAACGTTTTCCATAATGAAATGTCTATGATTTTAACATACTTACACAACAATCTCTACCTACATATTCATCTAAGCAGATATACTCATAACTGAGGTTCTTCTCTGTCCCCAGGATTCGAACCTGGTTTTACCACAGAATTAGACAATAAAAAGTGGGACAGTGAAACTGCAGTGCATTAAGCATCAAGATCCCCTGAATGAACATTAATTATCCAAGAACACTACCTGCTTCTCTGTGGATTTCATGATTCTATCTTTCAATGATCTACACAGATGCTTCACCTCCTCCAACACTGGATCCTGGTGCTCTAACATCACATTCTGTTCTTAGTTCGTACTTCAGTCACTTTGTAGAAGAAATGAGGTCAGGTGGAACTTCCTGTCTCCTGAGTATGAACTGCATGAACTTTTTAAATTTTCCCTTTGCTTGTGAGGGTTAGTTTCCCTTGTTTTGTTCATTACTGGTGACTTTCAATGGCATCTCTTATTTAAACCCCTCTCTGTGACGAAATACTCTCAGAGGTCATGTGCTTGTCTACTGGAGTAGTTGGGTCACTGAAGAGTACACAGGGCAAATACAGGGAATAATTCCTTAATTTAATTTTAGTTTGTTATCTTGAACTGGGGATGTATTTTTCATTGTTTTCAGACATAGTAAAGGGGAGAGAGAGAGAGAGAGGGTGTGAGAGAGAGAGAGGGAGGGGTAGAAGAGAGCGAGGGAGAGAGATTGACCTTGAATGCTTGCCTTCCATTCATACTCATACTGGGGATCATAGGCGCCCGGGCATGGGATTGATCTCAGAAACTTTTGGTTATATGAATAAAACTCCAAACAACTGAACCAAACCAGGCATAACACAAGGCAATTCTAAACATATGTGTGCCCTTGACAAGTTATATTCTGAAAATGTT